CCTGAGGGGACAGTGGCACCCAGGACAGGGTCAGGGGGTCACCCAGGACAGGGTCAGGGTGTCCCCACAGCCCCCACCGTGTCCCCTGCCTGAGGGGACAGTGGCACCCAGGGGACAGTCAGGGGGTCACCCAGGACAGGGTCAGGGGGTCACCCAGGGGACAGTCAGGGTGTCCCTACAGCCCCCACCGTGTCCCCCCACCTGAGGGGACAGTGACACCAGGACACGGTCACCATGGCCCCCATCGTGTCCCTACAGCCCCCCCATGTCCCCAGGACCCCCCCATGTCCCTACAGCCCCCCTGTGTCCTCAGGGGTGTCCCCACATTCCCCCCATGTCCCCAGGGGTGTCCCCACATCCCCCCCATGACCCCAGGGAGCCTCAGGGTGTCCCCACAGTCCCCCCATGTCCCCAGGAGCCCCCCATGTCCCCGTGTCCCCCCCGTGTCCCCTCCCTGGCGGGGGGTCCCACCTTGAGTCTGTCGAGGTTGTGTCCGTACTCGTCCAGGACGGTGGTGCCGTTGTGCATCACCCCGTTCCCCGTCATCATCCACGTCCCTGACAACACGGGGGACAGCAGGGGACACGAGTGTCACCACAGGGACACAGGGGACACAGAGACACGGGGTGGCACCACGGAGATGTCACCATGGGGATGTCACCACAGGGACACAGGGGACACGGGGACACTGGGATGTCACCATGGGGACAGCGGGCACATGGATGGCACCACAGGGACATGGGGGACAGCAGGGTGGCACCACAGGGACATGGGACACAGGGTTGTCACCATAGGGACACAGGGGACACAGGGACACTGGAATGTCACCATGGGGACAGCGGGCACATGGATGGCACCACAGGGACACAGGGACATGGGTGTCACCGAAGGGACACGGGGACACATGGTGGCACCACGGAGATGTCGCCACGGGGACACAGGGGACACGGGGTGGCACCATGAGGATGTCACCATGGGGATGTCACCACGGGGACATGGGACAGCAGGGACATGGGGTGGTACCTTGGGTATGTCACCACAGGGACACTGGGGACACAGATGTCACCACAGGGACATGGGGGACAGTGGGGACACAGGGATGGCATCTTGGGGACGTGGGGGTGTCACCTCAGGGGTGTCACCTCAGGGACATGGGTCACGGTGGGGACACCTGCAGGGGGGTGGGGGTGGGATGGTGACCCCGTGGTGACCCCAGGGTGACACTGGTGACCCCGTGGTGACCCTGGGCACTCACCCGAGCACAGGTTGGTCATGATGGGGTGGGGATGGTGACCCCGTGGTGACCCCGTGGTGACACTGGTGACCCCGTGGTGACCCCGTGGTGACACTGGTGACTGACCCGAGCGCAGGTTGGTCATGGTGGGGTGGGGATGGTGACCCTGTGGTGACCCCATGGTGACATTGGTGACCCAATGGTGACACTGGTCACCCCATGGAGACCCTGTGGTGACCTGGAGCACTCACCTGAGCGCAGGTTGGTCACAGTGGGGGCAGCTGCACAGGGATGGGATGGTGACCCCGTGGTGACATTGGTGACCCCATGGGGGCCCTGGGAACTCACCTGAGCACTGGTTGGTCACAGTGGGGGCAGCTGCAGGGGGGTGGGGGTGGGATGGTGACCCCGTGGTGACCCTATGGTAACATTGGTGACCCCATAGTGACACTGGTGACCCCGTGGTGACCCTGTGGTGACCTTGGTGACCCCGTGGTGGCTCTGGGCACTCACCCGAGCGCAGGTTGGTCATGGTGGGGTGAGGATGGTGACCCTGTGGTGACCCCAGGGTGACACTGGTGACCCCGTGGTGACCTTGGTGACTGACCTGAGCGCAGGTTGGCCACGGTGGGGTGGGGATGGTGACCCCATGGTGACACTGGTGATCTTGGTGACTCACCTGAGCGCAGGTTGGTCATGGTGGAGGGCAGCTGCAGGTAGGCCGGGTTGTGGGTGGTGACCCCGATCTCGATGGACCCCGCCCACTTGTCAACCATCTTGTCGATGCGGACCTGGAACAGCTCGTTGTCCCTGAGCGCCCGGGCACTCAGCACGACCCCGTGGTTGAAGTCATCCGTGGCACTGGGGACACAGGGGACACCCTGTCACCTCTATGGGGACATGGGGACACCACAGGGACACAGGGGACACCCTGTCACCTCCATGGGGACACCAGGACACGGGGGACACCACAGGGACACGGGGACACCACATTGTCCCTGAGCACCTGGGCACTGAGCACAACCCCGTGGTTGAAGTCATCCGTGGCACTGGGGACACGGTGTTCCTGTGGTCACTCACTGTGGCTACAGCACTGTCTGGCCCTCGTTGACCTCAATGACCCCTCAATGTCCCCCCAATGTCCCTTGGTCACTCATTGCGGCCACAGCATCGTCCAGCCCTCGTTAATCCCAACGACAGTCCAATGTCCCCAATGTCCCCAATGACCCCTCAATGTCCCCAATGTCCCCAATCCCCCCATGTCCCCTGGTCACTCACTGTGGCTGCAGCGCCGTCCAGCCCTCGTTGACCCCAATGATCCCCCCAACGTCCCCAGTGACCCCCCAACATCCCCAATGACCCCCCATATCTCCAGTGACCCCCTCCAATGTCCCCAATGACCCCCCCCAATGTCCCCAGTGACCCCTCAATGTCCCTAGTGAGCCCCCCAGTGTCCCCAGTGTCCCCAGTGGTGGTCACTCACTGCAGCCACAGCGCCGTGCGTCCCTCGTTGACCCAAATGACCCTTCAATGTCTCCCCAATGTCCCCAATGACCCCTCAATGTCCCCAATGACTCCTCCAATGTCCCCATTGTCCCAATGACCCCCCAATGTCCCCCCAATGTCCCCAATGACCCCCAATGTCCCCAGTTTCCCCCCGTGTCCCCTGGTCACTCACTGCGGCCGCAGCACCGTCCGGCCCTCGTTGACCCCAATGACCCCTCAACATCCCCCCAATGTCCCCAACGTCCCCTCAGTGTCCCCAATGACCCCCAATGTCCCCCCAATGTCCCCTCAATGTCCCAAACCCCCCCAATGTCCCCAGTGGTGGTCACTCACTGCGGCCGCAGCACCGTGCGTCCCTCGTTGACCCCAATGACCCCTCAATGTCCCCATTGTCCCAATGACCCCCCAATGTCCCCCCAATGACCCCCAATGTCCCCTCAATCCCCCCCCAATGTCCCCAATGACCCCTCGATGTCCCCAATGACCCCCCAATGTCCCCAGCGGTGGTCACTCACTGCGGCCGCAGCGCCGTGCGTCCCTCGTTGACCACGGCGGCCTTCTGGCCGCAGTTGGGGTGGAAGAGGAGCCGTGGGGGCCCCGGGGGTTGCCCGGGGGGCGCGGGGGGGTCCCGGGGTGGCCGTCGGGGGGTCCCCTCTGGGGACAGGGCGCGCAGGATGGCGTTGTTGCGGCGCAGGCGGTCGCTGTGGTTGTGGTTGTGCACGATGGTCACCTTGACGGCCATCCCGTACAGGTCCACCACGCCGTACACCACCGGAGGGGTCACCGTGGTGGCCAC